TTGTAGAAGTTCTTAATACCGGGAAGGAATAGGTGGGAACGTCGAGCATGAGCCCTTTCAAAATATGGCCCCTGTTTTGACTCTCCATGGGATTTGTATGGGGACTTAAAATGATGGCCATTTCGCCAGCCACAAGTTGATCTAAAGTCAGTGAGTCATGAGTGATGGTGGTGTTGGCGGAGAAGACGAATTCATGCGGCCAGTTCACTTCTCGAACTACTCTGTCATGTGCTTTTCTCGAAAGACCGCTACTGAGCTTCTTACCTTGGGCCGGCGGGTGCGCGTCTTCGTCAGAGACGTGTTGAAAGTTGAACTGCATGGGACGTCCGTCAGAGCTTCGGATCGCATCGGCGACGTGAGTCCCGCCTGTCTGCCTCGGAAAATGCTGTGTGAAAGTGGACGGGTCGTTATGCGCCTTGTGAAACGCCCGGACCTCACGCAAGGTTGGATAGTGGCCATCCGGTGGGGCTATGGACTTAGGAGCTCTTGTTGAAAGGCGCTGGTGGCGGCCATCTTGAGGATCTTGCGCAAGGGCTTCTGGGATGATCGACCTCTGACCGATGACGTCGCCGTGCGTGGGGAGGGGGGTAGACGTGGATTCCGTCCGGTTTTCCAGGCCCATGTCGACCTTCATTTGCTCTATCCGTCTGGAGACGTCTAAAATTTCGTTGTCTAGCTGCTCCGCGAGGTTGTCTGTTGGGGTCGAAAGCCATTCAGGGTCGTCCTCCGCAGGAGACGCGGCGTACCGCGCAGGGAGTTTAATCTTTCTCTTGCCGGCTCCAAACATGGTCGGGGGATAAAACTCGGGACGGAGAGAGTTCCGAGGGGCCAAGGTAAACCCAGGGGAAGGAAAAAAAGTAGAAAACTAGAGTCCGAGTGGTCTAAACCGGGGAGGCGTCTCTGAAAAGCGCGGGAAGTTGCAGCACACGTCCGTCTCTGTGAGCGCTATTACCAACGTTACTGCAGCGCTGCGTAGCAAACTGTAGAATGGAAGATTGTCCGTTCATGTCCCGACACGCTCTCTGCGGGGTCACGTGTTGGAGACGCATAGTCTCGCGAGAGTTTTCGTGCCAATTCCGTCATATGGTGGGACCATCTGAACATAATTAATTCTTTCTAAGCCCAGTAATAACATGTGCGTTGGCATGCTATTGTGGTTTGTTAAGATGTTAAGTGTACACATTTTGTTAGATGATGTAACAAATGCAAAACAATATGATTCCTAGTTAGTTTATTCCTACAATAGCTTTTTAAATTTTCTTAATAAACATGTCTGATGCAAAGTCAAAGTATCGTTTTACAGTAACTAATTGTTATACAATTTAATATTTGTATACAACAGACTTTAACACAAAGCGTTTTTTATTTGCCTACGTGCAGTAAGATAAAATAGAGTGAAGCTGATGCAGCTGAGACTTGTACACAGATACTACTGAGGGTTTGCCATGTGAAAAATAAGGGCAATCGAGCTACGACCAGAAGACACATGTACACACACACTGATATTTTTGTTGTTAAACTTTGTATTATTTTAGTCTGGCCACAAAGAAGAATAGTGATGTATCACTATTATTATGAGATCGTACGAAACCAAACAAACATACACAGAAAGTATAAGGACTTTGCTTCTGTTCTATAGATTTCTACATTTCTGTATTTAAGTTTCCACATTTGTCCTTATTAGTAAATTTCCAAATTTTTCCCATTCAGCCTGATATTTTCATCCTAAGTAATACATCTTGTCCGGTTCCATGGATTTGTCTATGGCATGACCTTGACTTTATGCGGTTTGAGCTTCTTGGTCTTCATGTCCTCCGTCAGCTGGTTGATCTCGTAGAACTGGATCTCGTCCTGCAGGATGTCGATGTCCTGGAAGCCCTCGGGCAGACGCAGCCAGCCCTGCCGCAGGAAGTTCAGGATGTACCGGAACACCTGGGAGTTAAAACGACAGAAATGTGGTAGTGATGGTGTAATTCCATAGAAATGTGAATACCAAGTGAAAAGGTTTTGTACAGCAACATAGATTTAACTGCGTGCATGCAACTGGCCGGTCCGCTATACAGTAGAAAGTCTTGTTATCTACAGCATCACCTGGAGAGTAGAGCGAAACGTTTTCTGAATGCCCCGTTATTCTTGAAACGCGAAAGAGAAAACGGGGCGGGCTCAGCTTAGAGTTTTAAAGCATCGACCTTGGTGACCATGCGTTGCTTGTTGACTATCGCCATGAGCTTAGTACAACTTGTACCCCGTTCTGTCGGGTGTTTAGACTTTAGAACAGTCTTGAATAACCTTGGGATTCTCCTTACAGCTGTTGTTGACATGTTTGTTTCTAAGCGAGCGCGAGTCTTACTTTCCCGTCCCTGTCGATGAAGTAGTTGCCCTGGCTGTCCTTCTGCAGCAGCTGCGGGGCCAGGAACATCCCGCCCAGGCGGGACTCGGGATATCTAGTCAGGGTGGCCATGGTGGTGGTGTACAACACCCCGCCCACGTTCACGGTCACGACCTCGGACGTCATGTCCAGCTCCTGTCGCGGGGTGCCTCTCCGTATGCTGGCCTTCTCGCTCAGGGACGTGGAGAAGGCGACTGCTGTGGGAAAGACGGCCAGGCTGGATTCAAAATTGTCCATGAAGCATGGTTTGGGCAACCGCCTCCAGTCGGGACCCAGTCTCTTGAGACATTCGGTAGAAAGGCGCAGGTGATCTGCAAATCACTTAGCCGTTCAAGGAGGACAGAATCCATCTATAATTCAAAGCTACCGTGATTTAATGCCATTGAATGTCACCTTAGTCCACCTGAAACCAGGACTGAAATTAGCAAGAAATCTGTCATGACTTCCAAGAAATCAGTTTTCAAATGTTCCAAACACTGATAATGAAATTGTTCAGTATCCTTGCAGCTATCAAGACACCAAAGCCGTCCCGTGGCGTGACCATTATTAGCACAATTAAACCGCGTGCATTCATGAACGGGAGTGGGTCCACGAGTGGTTTATAGGTGTGTAGTTCGCCTTGTTGTTCCCATATTGTGTTCCTTTGCACAAAAAAGACCCAAATACATCACTTATCGCTGAGGTGTTAGACAAGGGATGGACTTCCCTACCAACAGCATAATCATCGCGTGTTTTGTTCGTTTTGAGAATAAACGAAGCTATAATATTCCACTGGATGGCATTTCAGCACCACACACTTCCACTTGGCTGAATTGTGAGGCGCTTGCTGTAGTTGAGGCTGGAGTGCAAGAGTCTGAAGCTCCTGACGTTAATTCAGCAAACCTGAATACAATAGCAAACCTGAATACAATAGAAATCGTCTAAGATGGTTAAATCCATCTCTTATCGAGCAGTGTGATGGGCAGCCTATTGTTCTGGAGGGATCAGTTTCCATATGTATATTCATATATTGTTTACAAGTACAATATATTGTGCACTACATCAGACCAGCGGAGCCTGAAAATAGATATTTCACCTTAATTGCTTCCGATTGTACGTAATTATGAAAAGCCTGTTTGGAGCCGAAACAATCACTCGTGAAATCTAGCATCCTGCAAGTTCATCCGCCAGATCACGATCAATGCACCCGTTAATCAGAGGTTATGTTACCGTCTATATATGTCCCTTCGCATGTCCCTTTGTGTGTGCATGTGTTAATGGTAGTATTTGATCACATCAGAGCACACACCCCACCCCACCCCCGTAGGTATATTATCTGTGTCTCCTTCTGGTCCGATAATATCTTCACAACAACACGAACCGCTATTATGAATTGTGTGACGGTTTCATCACCATGCATGGTGACGTGAAAGAACATTGTCCGGTATATTTTTGTGTTCCAAGTTAAGTCAGTTGCCGGGCTCACAGCCATAACACTTTGGAACTGAAGCGGTCACGATGAGATAACAACAAGTCAATAAAACTCCTTACCTCTCAGCAACTTCTTCAGACTCATTTTGAATGATTTATTAATACGAACATCATATCAAAACATCTGCAATGTATGCAGTAAATTGCAAATAAAATGGAGTCTCGCTCTAGCATCGTCAACATTCTCATCATGACGTGCAGGTGGACAGCCACAAATAAGCGTATTGGCCAGGGGAGGCGTAATCAGTAGGTACATCTGATGAAAAGTGACTCTCGGGAGATCAATTTGTTTAATTACTAGTTTCCCCCGGAGAGGTAATTAGCATCACAACCATCAGGTTATATACAGTTGTCTTCAACAAGTCCCCGAATTTGCCGCACGCCAGTCTTCCGTCGTGCGTGTAAAACATGACCATATTGGGCTATTTGATCGCACGGTATCATCTTCTCAAACGTATCGCGTGTTATTTGTTGGAATGAACGCCCTATTAGAACGCTTATTATAATTAAATCCAAAGAGTTGGTAACTTGGTCGGCGACCTTGCCGAGATAAGGCGGTCAGCTCCTGGAAGTTGTCTGAGCAGTCAGGGCGAGAAGACGCACGGATCTGTGGTAGCAAGACGTACAAAACATGTCTAAAACCATCAAAGTCATTTTGTTTATTGGATCAGTCATCCGCGTATTGTACAAAAGTGTCTGATATTGTACTGTTCTGGTCTCAAAACGTGACCACCGCTTGGATAGCAGATTCCTCCCTAATCTAGGAATATAAAATCACGCAAAAGATTCGGGGGCACAGAGCGAGAAATGTTACCCAATGTGACCACAGAACTGCCCGGACACCAGAACTCCACCGCTAACTCCACCGGCGTCTTCGACTGGGAACCGTTCTCCTACTACTACTCTCCCTGGCGCGAGCTCCAGCTCGTCTGGGTGACGATATGCATGACGCTGGGCACGTGCGGCAACACCGCGGTGCTGCTGACGATCTCATCGGTGGAGGAGCTTCGCACGCCCGGGAACGCCCTGCTCTGTACCCTGGCTGTGGCCGACATTCTTCAAGTTATCACCAAGTGTCCCATCATAATATGGCTCATGATGCGGCAGCAAAGCCTGTCTTGTAAAAACGATGGCTATCTGTTTCTGCACTTTGTTTATTTGACGGGGTCCCTTTTCTCCGTGAACATCATTGGCCCCATATCTTTGGACAGATACTGGTAGGAAATCCATGTTTCTTATTACCATTATACCATTATTATTTGTGGCGAACGTCCGTTTAATGTATAGTGTTTTATAATGTGGATATAATGTGCGTGGCGTTAGCGCGTTTCTTTTCGACTCACCGCTTGTTCGTTTGTTTATTGGTCGTTGTTCATGGGTATTACTAATCAGCAAAAGAGCTATGCGTCGACGAGAGTATGTTCTAAATGTATTTGCCAGTGGGTTTCTCTTCTTGACTTTTGGTCAATAGACGATGAATTTTCAATATCGTGTGAGGTATCGGCTTTTGTATTTCCTGTGCTACATAAGACACACACGTAAAGTTATTAAAACTTCATGCGCCGTATATCTGCAGGTACATCTGCTACCCGCTGAAGTACAGTTCCATCATGACCAGAGCACGCACAGCCTGCCTCGCGGCCCTCCCACTTCTCGTCACCGTCACGAACATGGTGCTTGTGCCATTCTTCGAACCTGGAGGGGGCTTTTACTTCTTCCCACCATACGCCGCATGCAAGTATGTCTGAATCTGTCCTTGAGCTAGTTAGTTAGTTCGTCAGTCAGTCAGTCATTCAGTAGATTTGTTAGAAAAAAAGAAGAATATGTTGCTCATACCCACCTTTGTTTCCCTACTGTTGTTCCAGGTACACGGGACAAGCTAAGACAGGTAGACAGGCGACAAATAATGCCTGTTATGGAATCGTCGTGCTGGTGATGCTTTTCTGTTACTTCAAGTATGATTTTAGTGATTTCTACTTACATGTAGGTCAATACTGATTTGATTATATGTATGACATCCTCTAGGGAACTTCAAAACTGATGTAACCGTGCAAGAGAGGTAATTAGGTGCGCGTGAAAGTTGTCGTGACTGAACACACATAACATGGTATACCAAACAATAAATTCTACATTTTGTTTACTGTTACGTTTATATGTTACTTTAATAACTGATTGTGTGACTGTTGCTCTTCTAACGGTTCTTATCTGTTTCCAAAGAATCTGGCGCGAGGTAAGACGACAACAAGCTCGACACAGACAGTTGCTCCCCCAGGCCCTGACAGCAGTAGACTCCGGACAGTCGGAGCTCACCGGCACAACTCGGCAGACGAGCCTCTCTATTTCATCAGCTGGACATAAGCGCGGTTCAAAGGTGGGTATAGACCGATTCGACTAAAATCGTCATTTGTATGAAACTTAATACCATGAGCATGGCAGAGAGTGGGATGGAAAATGAAAAACACATCGCTCGGTTGTTGCATCACTTAGTACCAGAAATATCAGCCACTTTACGGGTTTAAAAAATTACCGTGGCCAAGAACAGGGTCTCACAGTTTGGATTTGTATCACCTACGCCTTTATAGTTGGACTATGATTCATAATGTAAAAGTAGAATTTGAAAGACAACACACTTCTGTATCAGTTAAATCGTTTGAACTACATCTACTAGTGACATTTTGGGTCGCTCAATGGTTCCCGTTTGTGGAAAGGGCAGCAAGGCAAAGACAGCAAATTGCGAGGTTCTGTTCCTTGGTACTTCTGGGGTATTCTGACCATTTCCAATTAGATATATAGACCTTGACTATTTTCCTCAGGAAAAACTGTTAATTCTTTGGTGTGGTAATCATGACCCGCGGTCTATTTTGTCACAGTCCAGTAACAAGGTGGCTCCAGCACGAATCTGTGACGAGCCGTCAAGGAGCTCGGTGGAATTGTCTGTCCAACTGGCCCTTCAGAAGGTTCCATCGGAGTTCAAGCAGCGCATGAAGACGGTCACCACGATCCTGCTGGTCATCGGGGTGTACTTCATCACCTGGCTGCCGTACTTCGTCGTCATACTCAGACAAGCGAAGTGGGGGGACGAAGCGTCGTCGTCGTCAGACGGACCGTGGCAGAGGTTCGCCATGTTGTTCTCCCTGATCTCAGCGTTCTCCAACCCCATCATCTACACTCGCAACCGCCAGTTCCGCCAGGGGTTACTGAGACTCTTTCGCTGCAGAAACTGACATAAAAGAGAGGGAGAAAAATCTCGTGTTGTGACCCAAAATACCGTTACAAAATACCGTATTCCTTTTCGCCGAGAATGATGCGATAGAAGTGGAAAGTAGCCTCCTTCGCAGACTTGTTGGGCGTCGGCGTTATTTTTTTTCTGTAAGCGACGTCAGTAATATGCCGTGGAGGGACGAATTTTGCTGCCGAGGGAGTTTTGGCCGTGGAGCGAAGGTTTCGCCGACGCCCAACAAGTCTGCGAAGGAGGCTAAGTGGAAAGGAGGATTTCGTGGTGTTTCGAATTTTCGGTAGGGAGAAAATATCGCGTTGTGGCCCAAGACTTTATTCCTTTTCGCCGGGAAAGAAGTGGAAAAGGGTTTTTTCGAAGTTTATTTTTAGATTTAGAGAAAGCACATAGGCACAAAAAAATTATGTATTACTTACGCGTTGACACTTAAGATAAGAAATTGTCCCTTAAGAAGTGTATCGCAAGCAAGCATTGTTCTTTTTTAGGATGTAAATGAAGCAGTGATATTCTACTGGATGGCATTTCAGCACCATGCACTTCTACTGAATTGCTGTAGTTGAGGCTGGAGTGCAATGATCTGGTGTTCCTGATACTGGCGCTAATATACCTGAAATGCAACAGAAATCGCTCTAAGATTGTAGAGTTTCATCGGCGGAACTTCCGGCTTAACAGCTGCACGCTATTATTTGTTAACCAAGGCGATCAAGAATCCATATCAATACGGAGATATGTACTCGATGATATGAGTCTTGAGCGCAATGATCTGATGCTACACGCCGCGCTAATTCACAAAACCTGAAAACAGTAGAAAATGCCATAAGATTGTAGAGTTTTATCAATATTTTATCGATCAGTGTGCGTGGATTGTCGTGCTTGGGGGATCAGTTTCCACCAAAACGGAACGTCCGGCTTAACGACCGCACGCAATTCTATAATAGCTGGGAGTTAAAAAAACATATGATTATCAATATGAAGATATTACATCACAGAATATTCTAAGTAGGCAAGGTGCAGAACTTCCTCCAAATATTGCGAGGGAATAGATTGTACTTGTAAACGTCATACCATGTATATACGTGCGCATGGGAATTTTCAGTGTTTGTCTGTTCTTCAATAAGAAATATTTGTAATGTCTGTACTAGCAGTAACGTTCAAAAATTCATATCAATACGGAGATATTACATCACAGACAAGCATACAAGGTAGTGCGATTTGTTCAAATATTGCGAATAAATAGATTGTAAACGTTACGTATACATGGGTATTTTTACTGTCTCTCTAATGTTCAAAGACAAGTATTCCGCCAGCATGTTTGCGCTTGAACAACTTGTCTCAAATCTGTACTAGTATATCACTTCAAATCATCCTGTGCTACATCAGACCCAATGAGCGGACATTGGAGCCTAAAAAGAGATGTTTTCGATTGTACCTGTTTGGAGCCGAAACAATCACTCGCGAAATCTAACATCCTGAAAGTTCATCCGCCAAATCACGATCAATGCACCCGTTAATCAGAGGTTATGTTACCACTTATGTCCCTTCGCCTTGTACGGTAACAGACCCCCCTTGATGTAAATGAATTACTGTAATTATCTGTGTCTCGTGTGGGTCCGATAACCTCATGACAACAACGCGAACCGCTCCCCTAATCATGATTGGTGTGACGGTTTCACCACCCTGGGGACTTTGGTACATTCTCTACATGTGGGGATAGAGCATGTTCCTTTTTACCTCCGGGGAAGGAGATATCCTTCCGCGAGGAGGTTTTACTATGGTTCGAAACATTTCTGTCAGCAGCTGTTTCTCGCGATCGGCGGGACGGATTTGTCTGTGGTTCGGTATACGTATTGCTATTGGGCTGCAGATGATGCAGAACGTTTTTGTTTAATTGCATATGTGTTTATGGGCGTCAAAATAAAAGGTTTTTAAGTGCTCCGGACACCCCCGCCATGCTGAAAATGGTAATTACCATGTTGTTAAGGAATGGGGCGGTTGCAGTTTTGGGTCTTAGCATTCAAAAGGGGTCAAACAGAGGGGTGTCTGGTTCCGATAAAAATTTTGGGTGACGGCGCAGCAATGACGGCGCGGGATGACGGCGGGGTTAATGGCGCGGGTGACGGTGCAGACTGTCAGACACGTTAATCAACAGTCCATACCGAACCAACCGTCAGTAGCCATCAAACACATACAAACATATTACGCACATAACTTTCATACTACACACAAACAAATAACCTAAACCAATAGAACACAAAAAACCCGGAGGTTTGAAATCTACGATTTCCCTTGTTGGCAACTACTATTGTCGGGTGCATAATTACCGAGTCGTGTCAATAATGTTTCGATAGCCGGCCAGTCTGGCAGCCTTCGGGGCTAAAGAGGTCGCGACATGGTACTACAACAAGTCATCAAAAACGTGTTGCCCTTTATAACGTCAAGTTTTGCTAGCTACACAAACTTTGCAGCATACAACTTCTGCTGGCTCCGCTAAATCTCCCTCGGAACTGAGTGTGACGGAAACTTAGTTCCGAGGGAGATGATTCTGTTTAATTGCTAGGTAATTACCATCACAAGCATGGTGTATAGTACAGTTGTCTTCGACAGGTCCCCAAATTTGTCGCACGGCAATCTTCCGTGGCGTGAGTAAAGAATGCCTGAAACGTGATCTTACTTGGGTATTTAATCGCACGGTATCGGTGTCTTGTAAATCTTCTCAAACGCGTCGCGTGCTATTCGTTGGCACGAAGGGGCAGGAGGCCTATCAGAACGGTAGCTCATCAATGGGGTAACTTTTCGGGGATAAACCCGGCAGGTCCCTCCGGAGTGGTCCTGGAAGTTGTATGAGCAAACGGGGCAGCGAGTAGACGCGCGGATCTGAAGAAGAAATACGTACAAAAAACTGTCAAAAGTGCCTGATATTGCAGTGTCCCGGTCTCCAACGTATCCACCACGTGGATAGCAGATTCCTCCCTAGATATATATGAATCCGGATCTGTGGGCACAGAGCGAGAAATGTTACCCAATGTGACCACAGAACTGCCCGGACACCAGAACTCCACCGCTAACTCCACCGGCGTCTTCGACTGGGAACCGTTTTCCTACTACTACTCTCCCTGGCGCGAGCTCCAGCTCGTCTGGGTGACGATATGCATGACGCTGGGCACGTGCGGCAACACCGCGGTGCTGCTGACGATCTCATCGGTGGAGGAGCTTCGCACACCCGGGAACGCCCTGCTCTGCGCCCTGGCTGTGGCCGACATTTTTCAGGTCATCTCCAAGTGTCCTATCATGATATGGCTCCTGATGTGGCAGCAACCCCTGCCGTGTGAGAACAACGGCTTGCTGTTTCTGCTTTATCTTTATCTGACGGGGTCCCTTTTCTCTGTGAACATCATTGGCCCCATCTCTTTGGACCGATACTGGTAGGACTGCCATTTTTGAGCATTATATGTGGCATACTTTTGTGAAATGAAATGTTTTAAGTACAGGGATCTAGTATGTGTAGCTTGGTTGTTTGATGATTGTTGTCCATAGGTATTACCAATCAGTAGTTCGACGAGAGTGTCTATTGTGAAACGTATTTGCTTCCATGGCTTGAGTTCTAGATTTTGTCAAAAGACGATGGTTTTCCACTGTCGTGTGAGGTATTGGCTTTTGTATTTCCTGTGCTGCATAAAACGCACGTTTGAAACTAAGGGAACTTGATATGATATTTGCAGGTACATCTGCTACCCGCTGAAGTACAGTTCCATCATGACCAGAGCACGCACAGCCTGCCTCGCGGTCCTTCCACTTCTCGTCTCCATCACGAACATGGTGCTCATCCCATTCTTCGACCCCGAAGGGAAATTTTACTTTTTCCCGCCATACGTCTCATGCAGGTATGTCTGAGACTGTCCTTGAGTGAATGAATGTGTTCGTCAGTTAGTCAGTAAGTAAATGTGTAAAGAAAACGAATAAAGTAATCCCCAAACCGACCTTTGTTTCCCTACCGTTGTTCCAGGTACACCGGACCAGCTGTGACAGGCAAGCAGGCGACAAATAACGCCTGTTATGGAATCGTTGTGCTGACGATGCTTTTCTGCTACTTCAAGTATTGATTTTATTGGTTTCTACTTAGGTCAATACTGATTTTATTATATATATGACATCCTCTGGGCTCGTAGAAAAAAAGTAGAAAAAGTTGGGTAGGTTTTCATGAAGATTGAACAAAATGACTGAACAAGCAGAACCTTGTATGGGAAAAAATCTCTATTTTTGTTCTTAATTGTATACATGTGTACCTTCTTCTTCGAGTTTGGAAGACTTAGGGCACCGGTCGAGCATTAAAAACAGCTTTGATCATGCATCACGTGTGGGGGTTGTAATAGTCGTGATATTCTCATAGAAGTTATTCAACAAACAACACACAATAAGTAGCTTAAATGCAGGATCATAATTATTTTTCTGCTTAGAACCTAACCGTATGGAACAGAATGATTAAATTACAGCTTTTTCTAGATTAGAGATTTATGCTTCCGGAACGTCTTTAGAAGCACACACAAATAGAATACAGATCACGAGAAACAAACAACCACAAGAAAGACGAAGATCAAAGCAAAGAAAAACAACAACAACAAATTCTTGATTGTTGCTTTTCTAATTGTTTGTTTGTTTGCAAAGAATCTGGCGCGAGGTAAGACGACAACAATCTCGACACAGACAGTTGCTCCCCCAGGCCCTGACAGCAGTAGACTCCGGACAGTCGGAGCTCACCGGCACAACTCGGCAGACGAGCCTCTCTATTTCTTCAGCTGGACATAAGCGCGGTTCAAAGGTGGGTATAGACCGATTCGACCAAGATTGCATGAAACTAATTAACTATGAAATGAGTGAGAGTGAGTGAGTGACAGCGAATGAGATAGGAAATGAAAAACATCTTGGTTTTCTCATCAGAAGCCACTCTCTTAAACGGGTTTCTTAAACGGGTTTCTAAAATTTGGCCTTTATAGTGGAGCCATGTTGTAAAAGTATGATTTGAAAGACAACAAAAACAAACAAAATTTCCAAATACACGTTTGTATCAGTGAATTTTGTTTGAAGTACATCTACTTATGATTTTGAGTCGCTCCATGGTTCATTGGAAAAGACAAGGTCGCTCCATGGCTTAGCGAATTCTTTGGTATGGTAATCATTACACTCGGTATATTTTCATCACAGCCCGGTAACAAGGTGGGTCCGGCACGAATCTGTGAAGACCCGTCGAGGAGCTCGGTGGATTCGTCCGCCGAGACATTCCGAAAGAAGGTTCCATCGGGGTTCAAGCGGCGCATGAAGACGGTCACCACGATCCTGCTGGTCATCGGGGTGTACTTCATCACCTGGCTGCCCTACTTTGTCGTCATACTCAGACAAGCGAAGTGGGGGGACGAAGCGTCGTCGTCGTCAGACGGACCGTGGCAGAGGTTCGCCATGTTGTTCTCTCTGATCTCAGCGTTCTCCAACCCCATCATTTACACTCGCAACCGCCAGTTCCGCCAGGGGTTACTGAGACTATTTCGTTGCAGAAACTGACATAAAAGAGAGGGAGAAAAATCTCGTATTGTGACCCAAAATACCATAACTTTATTCCTTTTTCGCCGAGAATGATGCGATAGAAGTGGAAAGGAGGATTTCGCGGTGATTCAAATTTTCGGGGAAAATAGACCCCCAAATAATTTAGTACAATGTACCGATGCGCTAACGCATCAGGGAAGGGGTGGCCCCTAAAATAACGTACTGAAATCAACGCGAGCTTTGTTGTTCTTGAAACTGAAGAAGTGATATTCCACTGGATGGCATTTCAGCACCATGCACTTCCACTTGGTTGAATTTGAGAGGCGCTTGCTGTAGTTAAGGCTGGAGCTCAATGATCTGATGCTCTTGCTACTGGTGCTAATGTCGCAAGCCTAAACCAATAGAAATTGCCCTAAGATTGTAGAGTTTCGTCTTATCGATCAGTGTGGTGGGTAGGATGTCAAGCTGGGGGATCAGTTTCTACGAAGGCGGAATTTGAGGCTTTACGGCTGCACGCAATTCTGTAATAGCTACGGCGTTCAATAATCCATATAAGTATCTATATGAAGATATTACATGATTTACATCACAGCATTTTCTACGCAGGAAAGGCACTTCACTTTTTTTTCAAATATTGGAATGGAATAGATTGTACTTGTAAACGTCATATCATATGCATGTGTGCGCATGAGGATTTTTGAGTGTTTCTCTGTTGTTCAATGATAAATATTTGTCATGTCTGTATTACCTGTGTCGTTCATGAGGAGGTATTACATGGCGGAGTGTGTGTTTATATATCAATGGAGGTATATATCAATTGTCCTCCATGTCACTCTGTATGTATCTGTATCGTTGTACTTTTGTGAATAAAGTTGTTTAAAAAAGATTTGTCAGTTCAGTTCAACGACAAATATTTGTTACGTCTGCGCTTGAGCAACCTGTCTCAAATCTGTATATAATTGTAATGATTCTGCACTACATCAGACCGGAGCATTGGAGCCCGGAAATAGATATTTCTCCTTGATTGATTTCGATTGTACATAATTATCAAAAACGATATTGCCCGGTCCGTGTGTTTTTGTGTACCAAGTAATGTTAATAAAGGTTCAATTGCCGGGTTGACAGCCATGACACTAAAGAGGTCGCGACGTGACGACTTAAAAAAACTTCTTACCTCAAAACGTCAGGTATTGCTGAATAGCTATTGCAATATGCAACTCGTGCTGGCTTTGCAAACTCATTTTTCCATAGTTTTGATCATAGAATTATTACAACAAAGCATTCACAGTATGTGCAGCAAATTGCAAATAAAATTGAGTCTCTGGTATCGTCAACATTCTGAACATTACGTGTAGGTTGACAACTCATCCCGGGTTCATTTTATACCGTCAAACACCAGTACCACAGATAAAGGCCAGGGGGAGTTATAACCACTAGACACATACGCCGAAATGTGAGTCGAGTGTTATGTTCGGTCTGGGTGGACGAGTATTCTCCAGGGAGACAATTAGCATCACAACCATGGTGTTGTATACAGTTGTCTTCAACAAGTCCCCGAATTTGCCGCACGCCAGTCTTCCATCTTGTGTGTAAAGAATGCCTAAAATGTGATCAAACCGGGCTATTTAATCGCACGGTATCTTAATCTAATGAAATCTTCTCAAACGTATCATGCGTATCACGTGTTATTTGTTGGCACGAAGGGACAGCAGTCCTATCAGAACGCTAGCTCATCACTGGGGGTGACTTTGCGGGGATAAACCCAGGTCCCTCCGGAGTGGTCAACTCCGGGACTTTGTCTGAGCAATCGGGCCAGCGAGAAGACGCGCGTATCTGAAGAGGAAACTCGTAACAAAATCTGTCAAAAGTGTCTGTTATTGCACTGTTCTGGTCTCTAAACGTAACCATCGCGTGGGTACTAGTAGCAGATTCCTCCCTAGATATGGATCCGAGTCTGTTCTAGGTATGTAGAATCGTACAAAAAGTTCGGGGGCACAGATCTAGAGCGAGAAATGTTACCCAATGTGACCACAGAACTGCCCGGACACCAGAACTCCACCGCCAACTCCACCGGCGTCTTCGACTGGGAACCGTTCTCCTACTACTACTCTCCCTGGCGCGAGCTCCAGCTCGTCTGGGTGACGATATGCATGACGCTGGGCACGTGCGGCAACACCGCGGTGCTGCTGACTATCGCATCGGTGGAGGAGCTTCGCACACCCGGGAACGCCCTGCTCTGTATCCTGGCTGTGGCCGACATTCTTCAAGTCATCTCCAAGTGTCCCATGATGATATGGCTCATGGCGCGGCAGCAAACCTTGCCGTGTGAAAACAACGGCTTGCTGTGTCTGCACTTTCTCTATCTGACGGGGTCACTTTTCTCTGTGAACATCATTGGCCCCATATCTTTGGACCGATACTGGTAGGACTGCCATTTTTCTTGACAATTATTTGTGGCGTACTTTTGTGTAATCAATGCGCAGTATGTTAGTACGGGGCTCTTGTATGTTAAGCAATATCTTTCTATATTCAATGTTTGTTTGTTTGTTTGTCAGTTGATCGTTATTCAGTGTTTTATCAGTTGGGGACCGTCCGCTAGACGGGCATCGCTGAGCCACCGTCCAGCGACCTAAATTGTATTTGTGTGACTACTGATTTCACAATTGGAATTTGAGGCAAGATGCAAACTATGATTTGAAAAGTGAAAAAAAGAGAATTTTTTTATAAATTTGTCGAGTGATCTGTCAAGTCTTTGGTGGTTCAGCGGTCGCTCAATGGTCGCAGCCTCTGGTAGAAAGGGGGTGTAACCGATGATAGCGTCTACTGTTAAACGTAATTGCAATGTGGCTTCTGTTCTTGACATTCGCTAAAAATAATGGATTTCGCGATATCGTGTGAAGTGTCGGCTTTTCCATTTCCTGTGCATGTATGAAAAAAACTAAGGGAACTTTATCACATGTACAGTATGTATACAGCAGTTTTGATCTATTCGATCTATGTGTGAGAGAAATGTACGTGATTGAACCAAGCCATGGTCCATGACCCTGCATGCAGGCCCGGTCGACAACAAACTAGCCTAATTGCACCCATTCAGCTCGTTTAGAGGTAGCGTCTGGGGAAATCACTAGAATATTGTTTCCGACCTCACAGCCATCTAGTTACACACAAGCCCAAACGGCCGTTAGACACCATTAGTACATGAAGATAAAAATCGGCACAAACAGTAAACAAATAAAATGAAAGATGTCAGGGTAGTCTCATTCCATCTACTTGCCAGGCATAAAAAGAAAGTGCATAGTGCGGTCCGGTTGAATAGCCCTTGAGCCACACAGTCCTGCAATCATGATGTGTTCCCAAATGCTAAGCACAGAAAGCAATGTATACAATTTTGAAAATCTTTGGAATGAATTGAACCCACGACCTACCGAATGTAAGGCAAACATTCTAGGTACTCTACGTACCCTCTTGGCCGATGCACCTGTCTCTGACCACCGTACGCGCACACGACATCTGTGTTTCCGTTCTGCAGGTACATCTGCTACCCGCTGAAGTACAGTTCCATCATGACCAGAGCACGCACAGCCTGCCTCGCAGCCCTCCCACTTCTCGTCACCGTCACCATAGTGATCCTTCCTTTCTTCGAACCCGGAGCTGGGGAGTTCTACTTCTTCCCGCCATACGTCTCATGCAAGTATGTCTGAGCACGTCCTTGAGTGAATGCGTGAGTGAGTGAATAAATGAATGAATGAATGAATGAGTGGGTGAGTGAGTGAGTGAGTTAGCGGACGAGTGAATGGGGAAAATTGTTAGTTAATAATTGCTGCAGCAAACAGTGAAAATGATTCTTTTACCGACCTTTTTCCCTCTGTTTTTCCAGGTACACGGGGCCAGTCAAGAGAGGCAGACAAGCGGCCATAAACAGCGGTTACGGAATCGTCGTGCTGACGATGCTTTTCTGCTACTTCAAGTACGATTTAGTATAGTCTCTACTAAAATACGTTCACTCACAATTATGAATAGCATGAATAGGAATAGCGAAACATGGCGCTATCGGTGATGGTGGTGGGATATGGTTGAAGTATATCATAAGGCTTGTGATATTCGTATGAATAATATTCTACAAACAACACATAGTAAGTAGCTTAAATTTCGTCTTAACGATATCCTGGATCATGAGTAGCTTCCTGCTTAGAACTTAACAGTACGAAAGAGGATGAGATGGATGCTTTACAGATTTTTACTTATGAAAACAGGGATTTACACTTCCGGAACATCTTTGCGAGATGAAACAAAGAAATAAAGATCACAAAAATGTAAAGATAAACATACGGGAAACCATGCAAAGAAAAAAAAGAACTAGGGACCGTTCTTCTCGTCCACTGCACATTACTACCTGAGGGCCAGCTATGATTTCTCTACCCAATATCAGGCCATCTCTGAGTCCCTGATCGAATTCTTCTGTCTGTGTTACTGCAATAACTACTGCACACATACTCTTCTATAGTTTTTATCTTTTTGTCTGCAAAGAATCTGGCGCGAGGTAAGACGACAACAAGCTCGACACAGACAGTTGCTCCCCCAGGCCCTGACAGCAGTAGACTCCGGACAGTCGGAGCTCACCGGCACAACTCGGCAGATCAGGCTATCTTCGGTTGACGGGGGTTCCGAGAGTCAACAGGAGTCGCCTGACACGACTGGACAGATGAATCGACAGGTGTCGGTGACGTCTCTGTCAGCACGGCTGTGCGACTCTCCATCATCAGCTGGTCAAAAATGTGGTTCAAAGGTAGGTAAAGACCGATTTAGCTATAGCCAAGGTTGTCATTTATGAGCATGTCAGCGAGTGAGATGGGAAATTGAAAACATCACGGTTGTTATGCCAGTTGACACCAGAAATAGAAGCCACGTCCTAACAGGTCGCTTAAAAGATGGCCCGGGACACTGGTACCGGTAGTTCCATTGTGATAACGACCAAATCACTAGAATCACAGGTGGTCTATTTCATCACAGCCCAGTAACAAGGTGGCCCCGGCACGAATCTGGTCAGCGGCCCTTCAGAAGGTTCCCTCGGAGTTCAAGCAGCGCATGAAGACGGCCACCACGATCTTGCTGGTCATCGGGGTGTACTTCATCACCTGGCTGCCCTACTTCGTCGTCATACTCCGATCGGCCAAGTGGGGGGACGAAGCGTCGTCGTCGTCAGACGGACCGTGGCAGAGGTTCGCCATGTTGTTCTCTCTGATTTCAGCGTTCTCTAACCCCATCATCTACACTCGCAACCGCCAGTTTCGCCAGGGGTTACTGAGACTATTTCGCTGCAGAAACTGATGCAGTCTAGTCACAGTAATCCTGGTAGCCAGACCATAAATTTGTTGTAATTCCAAATATTCTCATGACGACTCTTGTCTATCATGAAATGACGAAAACTGGTACTCTCGGGTTGGGTGCTTTTGATGTCAGCAGATTATGTTTCTTTATAGACTGAATGTTATCTAATGTTTTAGCTGGAAAAACAACGCACTGTACAAAATACATGACATTGTATATAACGTTATATTAAAGGCCTCATCGTGTTGATTGTCACATTAGACATGCATGCATGTTCACGTGACTTTTGAAATTTGTTAGAGACGTCAATAGCTGATGTATATCTTTCTAGATTGAAAGCGAGCAGTGTTTTAGATGGAAAAACAACATATATGATATATATATACTGTACACAGTTCATAACGTTGTATGAACGGTCCAATTTCAGAATTAGAAATGTACTGTAGTGTGAGTACAGGAATACGTAGTAAGTAATTTTGACATTCCGCCTGGTTGTTTTTTTTCTTTCTTGTAAAACGCAAGTACGAAGTACTAAGTGATACCGAAGGCTAACTAAGTTCAAAGACGTTTTAGAACGAGGACTGCCAGCTAGTGATGTCCCAGTTTTTCTTTATTAGTATTCGTTCTGTGTGTGACCAACACGAAACTTAGTGATAAACCCTTGTGGGCTGATTACCATCTCTTTATGATGAAAATGCCATATTTCGGAGTCTCCGTTATACCATGGTTATACCTAGCTACCTAGTCCTCGTTGTTGGGTCGTTGGGCGGACCGTGAGTCTAGACATGAAGAGATGGGAATAGGCAACTCCGTAACGCCATCATGATTTGAGGATTGTCTGAAATGCTGCAAGGGCACAGCGTCATCTATTAATTGAAGGCTAAACTGCAGGGGGAAAAGCGGCAGTACAAAATAAAGCGGGCCAACCAGTATTTCACGAGTGTATCTTAAGTAGGAAAATATGGTGATAAAAGATTTATCATCCATTTCCTGTGTGCTGGTCAACTAAGGTAATGACTCGTTTTTGTAGTCAATAATGCTAATCAAATTAATGTCAGGTATAGTCTATACACGATGATTACAACACTGCTCTTTCTTTGACACTGTGTGTTGCATATCATGTTATAGCAGGTACCGCATGCGTTTACAAACTTTCGGATATAATTTTAAGCCTGCGGCTCTAAATCATAGAATGATAGAAAAGACCTGAAAGAAAGCCTGCATACTCAAGAAGATAAGGTTAAACCTCCTTGCCGAAATACACGGGGCGCGCAAGCCCTTTTCCGTAGAGCGTAATCGACCGTTTTAATTCTACGTATCGCGTAGAGCGTAGACGGACCGCTCTACGCATTTTGCGTAGTGTATTCGCCGTTTCAATTCTACGTAATGCGTTGTGGCCGAATTTATCGTAAAGCGTAATCGAGAAGTTTCCGAATTCAGCGTAGAGCGTTGTCGGGACCCCCCCCCCCTTTGCAGGCCCCAATATACTACTCGAAATGGATTTGCACTAGTAACTAGGTTTTGCAAAGTCATTGGCTTAGTCAAGTATTTTGTGAAGAAAAGACATTGAAAAGGGAGTCGCCAGTGTTAGTCTCTACCAGACTCAAATGGTTTGCTGAAAATGGCAAAAATTGGGCAAATTGAATAATATATGCCAGAAGAGTCAGTCGGCAACAGAGGCACACTATTTTCCAGCAACCATCATGGTGTCTAGTTTCAATGGCTGAGTGAGTCGGTCTGGTAGAGAAGAATACTAGGTCGGACCAAAGGCGCTGCCTGTTTATCACTTCTCACTCCTTGTACTGCAGCTGACACTGGCATTCCAACTGTTTATTGTTAAACTGCAAACGAACGGTAGGGTGAGCCGTAGTTATCGCCAGGGGAACTGTCCGATTATGGCAGTGACCTCTAGTTGCCCGCGGTTGTTTTACCCTGCGGCCTGAAAGAGTATTTCTGGGGCTATTCTTTCCCTTCCCGTCAAGATCTTGAAAACTTGGATCATGTCCCCCCTGTTCCTTGGGTGACTCACATTGTGACTACAAGTATATTAATTTGTGACAAAAAACTGAAACGAAAAACACAAAGAAGAGAAACGATGGCGCGACCTCATTGGTCCCGTTTTTATCTATGACAAATTCCTGGCAGCCCTGTGAGTCACGACCTGAATGTGTCCCCTGACGTTACGGTTTGACGTATGTAGTACAGTACCTGTGAGCAGCCGGGTAAAACCGGCCGTGAAACCGGTTCCCTCCAAACCGGAAGTGGGAAAGTCGTGAAAGTGCAGAAAGTCCTAACCTACCGCATCCAAACAATGCAATTTAGTCGCACAAATTAACAATGTATTGATTTTAAAACAATGCCTCGTTATAATTAAATATGGTTTATTGTTTTATTATCACAATCATTCACAAAAAAGCATGTATTTTAATGCATGTTGAACGATAATTTTACGTTAAGCTGCGCTCTTTCATTTAAAACCGGAAGTACGCCTGATCAGCCGGCATTTTCAAGAAGATGGCGGACAGCGAGGGAAAAGTTGGAGAAGGCTCCGAAAAGACGTCAGAAAACACAAATAAGGCATCTAACAATGCTGAAACGGACAGCAAGACTGCTCAGATCGCAGTTGGACCTCCACATTCCAGCAGTAGGTTCGAAGTTGCCGCTGTTAACGAGAACAAAGATGGGAAAGTCGACCCAGTCGGTGGGAACGGTAACGTAGCGCCGGTAACCGCGCCGCCGCCCGATGCAACCCTCAAACCGTCGCCATCGTACAGCGGCGCCGGGGGCAGCCAGGCCGAGTCCAACCTCGGCTCCGAGCTGTCCAGCGAAGACGCCAAGCCTAACCGCTTCTCGGTCCGCTTCGCTGACGGACGAGACGACGAGGCCGCCGATGCCTTGGAAATGTCGTCGTTGGGGAGGGGGGCGGAGTCTCCCCCGGCCTCCCCACAAGACACGCAGGGCGACACCCACCACAGAACTTTCGGGCACAACACGATCGACGCCATTCCACTCATGGACTACTACAGGAATTCCTCACAGTATCTGGAGGGGGAAGATGTCAAGCGGAGACCCACACTTGTCGAGCTGCACGAAGGCAAAGTAAGTTATTTATGACCAGGTCAACTTTATAAAAACATTTTTATAACGTTAACGTTAACGTTACTCATTATAAAAGTATTAAAACCATGCAGTAGTTACCGTTGCTGACAAATTTGTGATAGTAGAACAAAAAATCTCAATGTCTGGTCACAGAATGAAAATTTTATCAAAGATAATTTGATTGCAGCATATTAGTCCACTCCGACTTTATTTTATGGATGACATCCTCTGAAGACCCCCAAACTAGTGTGCGTGGGCGAAAAAAAAATTCCAGCCAAAAATAAAAATGTTACTAAACCACAGGAATACAAAGCTGGTATTTTGAATTTGCGACAGTACTTAGCAATGTATATGACAAGCCAGCACATGCTGGCTTTTTCACTAGTTTTTGCGGGATTTATGAATCGGCACTGTACATATGTACCTGACTTCTTGAGTCGTGGAGCTTCGGTAGCCTGGGTGCCCGGCTCCGTATTGTCGCTAACTACCAGCCAGTACTATGGACTACCCAGGCCTAGAGCCATGGCAAGGCTTCGGTGGACATGATCTTTTTTTTTAGAACAGGCGAAAATCAATGCGCGTGCGGATGTCATCCATAAAATTAAGACGGTCTGGCCTTTTAAGAAGTTCAGCGTGAAATCAACAATCAGTTTCTGTTGGATTGATTGGTGACCTTTAATTCTTATAAAGTAATACATGTATTGCATAACCAATAAACCACAGTATATAAATGTTTTGTATAAGAAAGCCCGGACCTAGTTTATATCCCACCTGATCTAACTGAATCTAGATAGTACTCATTTTCACCTGAGTCGAGTGAGGAACTTTTTAAAAAAAAAAAGCACAAAAGAAAGCTGGAATTCTGTAGTAGTATGGTACTACCTGATCCCTAATTCTGGTGAGAACCTACCAGTAGCCCAATGGCCTGACAGGACAGTTCAACTTCAAGAGCATACATTATTGGAAATCAGAAGTTTTTCCGTACCTAGTAGTATCTGTAATAAGTCAGTGAAAGTAACTTTCTATTAAACCTTTATTGTACACGTGCCTATGTATACAATGTTGAGGCAGTGTTGACTTAGGTCTGTTGGCTGGATGGTGCACACATTCTTGGCAGAGTGATAAGGCTACAGTCTAGCAGTGGTCCTGCATGTAAACTGGGTAACCTTGTGTTACCACCATAGTGTTTGTGGAACACTTCTCAGCTACTTGGTAAGGCATGCCAAGTACTGGTTTGGACTGGTCCAATTCAGGTTGGCTATATGTGGTTTATCATACCAACAGTACTGGGACTATGTGCAAGCACAAATGTCAGACCATCTCATACATCATGGCTTATAACTTACTATGGCCGGGTTCATACCAGACTTATATTTAGCGGTTTCAACCGGTTTTTCAAAAACCCGGCTAAAACCCTTAGCGTTCATACCAGACTTTTGATAACCGGTTTTGTAAAAATCCTGTCCGGTGAATATCCAATTAATCGGCCATGACTGCAGTTTGAATAACCGTTCCTCCTGCTCTTCTGATTGTTGTCCTTGGCCTTCTTGCTTGCATGCCGTCTTCAGTTTGTTTTTTTACCTTAGTGCGGCACTGATCCTTTATCTTCAAGAAATCAGCCTCCTCCAACATTTTTGGTTCGGTAGAGCCCTCCCCCTAGCTTTCTCGAATTCGGCGACTGCTGCTCTCCAAACCTAAATAAGTATCAGGAACGTCCCGTCCGCCGACCAGGTTGCGTTTGCTGATTCCATCGCAAAATGAAGAAAAACCGTGGAAAAACAGTGGAAACGAACTCAAGTTGGTCAAAACAACGCGATCAAAAAAGCTTGCAGGTCGCACACGGCCAGGATGCTGACCCCGTGACCCCGGAATTATGACGCAAAAACCGGTTCAATAAACCCTTAGCGTTCAGACCAGGTTTTTCGGTGGAAAACCCCCACAAAAACCCCTCAAAAACCACCTCCCGAGGTGGTTTTTCAGAATCGGATTTAAACCCCTAAAAACCGGTTAATTTGCGTTCACACCAGGTTAAATAAAAACCGGTTTTTGAAAAACCGGTTGAAACCGCTAAATATAAGTCTGGTATGAACAGGGTCTATGTGTCAAATTTTCTCAGTATGTTATATAGCAGCATCAGCTGCACATGGCAGTTGGATTTGGAAGTGGGTCACTGAACAGCTAATCAAGACAGCATAAATCTTACATTACACTTTTTCTTTTATACATTGTACTACATAAGTGGTTACAGTCAATGCAGAAAATAAAATTCCACATACACCTACACGTGTCATCATCAGTTTGAATATGAGGCTACTGTCCCCAGTACATGGACCCGTGCAGGTAGAAATCAGAAATACCTTCACAACTCCAATTTTACCTGCACCGACCTCAGTGACCTTGTATGAGTATGTGTCCCTGTTATCTGGTTGAGAAAATTACTGATAGTAATCAGTTGTCAAAGGCTTAAAATTAGTTAGTCCCATAAGATGACATTTTGATTTTTCTGCCAGTTAACTTGTGTGTGTTTTTGCAGTAACTGTGTTATTCCTCCCCCAAGGTCAGGTCATTGTAGTTATTGATTTTATCTTTATACAGGGGTCTGCCTTTATGACAACTGAAACTTGATCATCATTCTAATGCAGTCATAATCACATTATTGATTCATAATTATTTACACTGTTTGTATACATGTAACATTGTAATTAGTTCCAAAAGTCTGTTACTTTTGATCTGAAAATTACACAAAAAGTGTTAGGGTGAGGCAATCCTTGTAGTGGTAGACTGAAGTTGTAGTTGTTAGACAGGTTTTTAATTGTATAATCATAACCAACCAGCTATTTTTGGACGTGACTCGAACCCATGTATCCACCCTTAAAACTGTTATCCCAGTTGCACTGTGGATTCTGCAAGTGTCTGGTTTCTGTTAAACTGACGGAATATTGGGAAGTTCTAAAAACACAGGGATTCTCTTGGGTAAATAAAATTGTTAACAGTTATGCAGCAACTGGGCCAGGGTCAATATTTGTACATCTTGTGCTCACTTTGTAGGTTATACATGTAGCTGAAAGGCTTAGGCCTTAGGGTTCACAAATTTGTAAAAAAAGTGACCTAGTATCACCCTGTTTGGACAAACATAACACAAAATTCTTGACTTGCAGTACCCTTTACATTCTGGAGATCAGTAACAGGGCTGATAGTGTCAACAAACATATTATACTGTTGTACACAACTTGTACTATAGTATAGGCAAACTGGCCAGGGCATGGTACATGTATATTTGCTGTGCCTGCATATGTACTTTACATAGTGTGCCACCAGCAAATTTTACAATGATGACAAAGAAGCTAGAGCTGTATATGTTTTGATATTGCTACCTGCCTGATACCACATGCTGAGTGACATAAGTCTACATGCTACCTCGACATAACACAACATAAATCTTGTCCTAATTAACAAACTTCAAAAATGTTTACTAAATCGTAAATGTTTTACTGTTAGCCAGAGAGCTACCAGCATTGATGTGCTTGCCTTCATGTCATCCTTCTGTAGGAAAGCTTTACACGTGACAGTAACCACAGCTCTGAGATAATGATCTAGAACATACTGCAGGTTTTTATTGGTTCATGCTGTAGAAGAGTGTAATTAGCTCTCTAACCTGGCATGTAGGACAGATGGTGCCATGTGACACACTGAAGGGCAGGCAGTGAAATGTCATGTGACTGTGGCAGATTTCATCTGAATTAATTTGGACCATGGAAAAGGAAATATGACATATATAGGTCCCTGCCTTTACTGACAAAACTGACAACTTACAAAACAGGGCTCAAAATACATTTTTCTGCACACCTTCTCTAATTTGATTTTTGTAGATTTTGTAAATAAGTGGTTAGGCCTAGGGATGGACTAGAAAAATTTGATAGGGGACTGAATGACTTATCTATCCCATAAGGAATATGATTCAAAGAGAACTGAGAGATTGAAAACATACCAAGGAAGACAGAAAGCAGTATTTTGAGCCCTGGTTGGTAACACCCTTGATCTTAAACCAGCCCGAGGCGACAATGGTAACCAGAAAATACTCAGAGTCTCCACAGATCCAGGTCAGACAGACATTACCAGTAACAGGTCCTCAGGGAGCACTTGTGCCTGATGATGGCTCTCTGCTTTATGTTTGTAGTAATGGCCTAACTGTTCCACAGACCCCTGAGTGACCTTTGATTGAAGGAACAAAAATCAATGAAAGCCTTCATGAGAAGCACATGTACATGAATGCGATGTTAAGGAAAAGAAACAGGCGTGTACATTACTTCTCCAGTGTGTTCTTGGGAAAACCAATTGAAATGGGGGTCAAGACAGCAAGGTCTCTGACATCAAGGAGATATTAGAAGAGATATTATGATGTTAAATCTCAACATTACAAAATTCATTATGAAAGCCAAATACAATGTATCTAGTTTTAAGAAAACTGTATGTTATATGGTCACTTCAATTAGGACAATGTACTACCGGTAGTATGTGAGAAAGATACCTTTTAAAATGATTTTTTAAGAAAATTTAGTGCTATATACTGGTAGTTGAACAACTTGAAAATACAGACTTTGTCTTGTTCATACCAGATCATCATTAGAAGCAAGGGTATTATAATGTCCTTGCTTGAAATAGGGCATGGGCACTTTAAAAGTGAAATATCTCAGGTTAAAATATATTGATGTATGACTGTTCCTGCATAGCAGAGTTTAATCTGAATATGTTTCCTGCTCCACAGACGGAGACCAAGTCCCACAAGCGTGGTGACTCCCTCCTGTTGGACATCCAGTCTCCCAGCAGTGTGGAGGAAGAGACAGGAGCCCAGAAACCAGCCGGGCCTGCCGCTATCAAGTTTGGCTGGATCAAGGGGGTGTTGGTGAGATCTCAGGATTTGTTAATCTTATTATAAACTTAATTTTATTTGTGTACATTTTCCCTTTATGCAAAGTCTGTTACTAGCAAGTCTTGTTTTGTTGCTCACTGTCCTTGTAAACATAAATACAAATGTAAATTCAAGTTGCTGTTGTCTTGATTCCAAAGTCTGTTTTTCCTTTCTGTTACTGACTACAAGACATCTCTCGAGCCCCTCTTTGTTCTTAAGGGTGTCATCCCAATTTTTATGACATACAGTTGTTTCAAATATTTATACTATATAACACTAAGTCTTGTTTCAAATATTTGTGTTCCCCTTGTTCCATGTACATTTACCTTACCTTCATTTGCTGATTTTCTAAAACCACTGGTAAAGTTACATTTATGGGTCATTTTTTTAGCATTAATAAGAAAATCCGATAGTATATTATAAAACATTACAGTTTGTTGAGTTCACACATGCTGTTCCTGTTCTGTAGGTGCGCTGTCTGCTCAACATCTGGGGAGTGATGCTGTTCATCCGGCTGTCCTGGGTTGTGGGGCAGGCTGGGATAGGTAGGAAGCCATTTTGGCATGAGTGTGTTAAAAGTATAGGTCTTCAGACTTAAACAGATATTTCTGATGTCTACCTGTACCGGGATGAAATTAACATTTATGGCAGTAATACAGTTGGTGCATGTCAATGTGCTACTAGGGATCAGCTTATGTTGGCCTGTCTCCGAGCCACTCTCAATTTGATGGGATAGATTTTTTAACAAAACATAAGCTCGACTCTCTGGCACATTTTTGACTAAGTGACCTTCCAGCAATCAACAAATGTGGCTTGTCAACTGTGCAACATGGCTGATGAGTAGGTGTAACATAACAAGATTAATGAAAAATTCATGGCTGTGCATGATTTTTGTGCTCCCTAATTGCCAATGTTCGGTGTTCCTGGCAGGTGTAACAGTTGTAATACATTTTGCTTGTGACCCAGAAGTGTCCAGTCTGCTGATGTGTAGCTGTAAACAAATGACCATTGAAAGAGTAAACCATTGCCAAACATATTAACCTCGGCCAGGGTACAGGAAGGCTCAAAATCCTTTTTTCTCCATACCTGCACAGGTGCAGGTATAGGTAATTTTCAACATTTTTTTCTGCATTATGCAGAAAAAAATGTTGAAAATTACCTGTACCATACATAATTCATAGGTACCATTCATAATTTAGGAAGTTATAATGGCCTTGAATGGTTACAAGTAATATGTACATATACTGTATAATCTCAACATTGTTTTTTTTCAGGATATTCTTCAATCATCATTCTGCTGTCAGCTGTTGTTACCACAGTAACAACACTATCCATGTCTGCAATCTGCACAAACGGAGAGGTCAAAGGAGGTCAGACATCAATCTTTTTTTTTTACAATCACTTGCACATGTACTAGGCTGTCTGTCCTGCCTAACTGTCATTTTATATGACATTGTATTTAATGCTAACTCTACTGGCTGGGATTGGCTCCTTTTCTAAGAATTTGCCTAAATATGTGTGCCTATACTAGATGCCTCTTGTGTAAGCCATGCACATTACGTTCCTGATTTCGCATCGGCACAGTGTGTTCTGCCAACTTGCTGCCGAAGACAATAAGAAGAAGTAATTTGGAGGATCATCTATTATAGGTAGAAATGACATGTCACAATACAGGAATAACAAATCAGTAATGATTTTCCTTCTTTCAGGCGGTGCATATTACCTGATCTCTCGAAGTTTGGGACCAGAGTTTGGTGGTGCCATCGGGCTCATCTTTTCCCTAGCCAATGCTGTGGCTGTTGCCATGTATGTGGTTGGTTTTGCAGAAACAGTGCGGGATCTACTTAAGGTAGGAAGCTGATTTCAACTCTTAGCATTATTACATATATAAACATTACAATGCTTTGCTGTATCTTTTAATTTTGAATCAAAAAATATAAATTTTTTTCTGTATGAAATGAATTGTATTGTGGATTATGAAATACTTTTTCCTTGTGGTACAAGTAAGTACAATGCACACACTTCAGAAAGAGACTGTACTATAAAATTTGTAGTAAATGATAACACACGGCCCGGGATTCAAACCTGATTCTGAGTCAACAACCCTAACCACGAGCCACCTGTGTGTGTTCCTCCCTCCCAGGACAATAATGCCCTGATGACGGACGAGACAAATGACATCCGTATCGTGGGCTGTATCACCATCGTGCTGCTGCTGGGGATCACAATGCTGGGCATGGAGTGGGAGGCAAAGGTCAGCCCTCATTTATTTCTGAATCACCATCTTCAGAAAGTTTCAAACAACTTATGCAGTCAGATGTAAAAAAAACTGGGTTGTTCGGTGTAAATAAATACAGCTAGCTGCCGGTGCGCCACGTGCCTGCGTATATGCCAAAGGGCAGTTATACCAGCAGTTATTCACCATCCAGTATACCTGTGTTTGATTTTGGAAGTTCTGACAGGGTGTTTTTTCCCCCTCCTCAGGCCCAGCTGGGTTTGCTGGTTATCCTGGTTGTTGCTATTCTAAACTACTTCATCGGAGCTTTCATTCCTGCCACCAGGGTCAAGATGTCAAAAGGCTTCTTAAACTACCAAGGTATGTAAACCTTAATGTGTGTGTATGTATGCAGAAAGAACAGTTAGTAGAAATTCTTCAATCAGTGACTGTATTTAAAGGTAAAAACACGTACCTCCAAATTTTCGGTGTCGACTGTACACCTTTCTCAAGGAGTGACCTAGTCTCGCGAGAACACGAGACTAGGTCGAGACTTGTGTGGATCTTCTGACCTCCCCCGCCTCCTTGCGGAGTAGGGGTAGGTAGGACTTGGGCAGCTCCCAACCTTCGTTGCGATTCATCCCGGCACGTTCCAACTGGATATGGACCGCTTCCTTAATCTTTCTATGTGACTTCCGGGATTCCTGGTCTATAATCTTAACGATGTCCAAAATAGGGCCGCTTGTGACCCTATGTCCCGCTTTGAGTTCATGTTGGCTAAGTGCGGATTTACCGTCCTGACGGTCTACAGATTTCTGATGTTCGTCAGTTCGTTCACCTAGGGACCTTTCGGTTTCACCTACATACACCTCACCACACATCTCACACGATATTTTGTAAACAGTACCACACTTTTCACTGGGAAGTAGTGGGTCTTTTGGACTGACTAGGGCATTGCGCAGTGTATAGCCTGGTTTAGAGAACAGACTCACGTTGTGCTTGGCGTAAGCCCGTTTCAGTCTCTCAGTGACTCCTTTGATGTAGGGGAGTACTGCGTAACTCGCAGGGTGTCGCTCTTTGTTTACGGAGGTGCGGTCTTTATTCCTCTTTTTCCCGTTTGTGATGTTGTTATCCCCCTCTTTTAGTGCCCATTCTGGGTAGCCACAATGACGCAGTGCGTCCCTCACTTTTTCCTTCTCTGCAGCTCTGAGGGTGTGGTCTTCTATCAGTGTGTTCGCCCTATGCATGAGT